TATAATATTTCTTTTTTACATATACAACAAAGTTTAGAACATAGTTATTTAGTTAATATATGATATTTATATACAACAAAGTTTAGCAAAGAGAAATTAGCTGTAATTTGTGTTGATTAGAACATGTAGCCAAGTGGTTTCTGGTAGTGTTGTCACTAACTCACTTTATCATTATCCGGTTGAAGACCGATATAATGCAATTGACAGCAAAAAAAAGTTGTAGTTCGTGTTGACTAACCTTCTGAGACATCAAAACCATGTTGTCTAAGAAGTCGGAATTCGAGTGCGGTGGCATGTAAATCTTCTTCCTTCTCACATTTCCAAACATTTCTTTCATTTATATGATGAAAATCCGTTAAAATATTATTTATTTCATGCTCAAAATGATATGAAACCCCAAGTTTTTGCAGATCATCGATGAGCTCTAATTGTTCGGAACGACTTTTCGGCTCAACATGAAACATCGTCTTTACATTCTCCTTCAACAGGTCTCTAGTTATCACTAGTTTTTCATTCTGCATGCATCATATTGTAACAAGCTAGTAAGTGTCTAATGCTAAAAAAAGATATCAGAAAGAAAAAAAACAGATTGATCATCTTATTAAATTAATTAATAGGGTTTATTTGTGTAATAACCATAATGGAGTTTATAAGTAAAGATATAGCTATGGTGATGGATTAATCAAGCCAATAGGCAATAACCATGTGCATGTTGATTTAGACCATTTTGCCCCTATCTCAAGTTCTCAACAAACGAAGAGAAAGAGATGATTAAACAAAAGAGATGATCTTTACCTCTCTTTTGTTTATATGTATAATTTGAAAATACGTAATTGAAATTCAACTTACTTTAAATACGTAGGATAGCTTAGTCACTCACCGAAAAAGAGTTAAAACAAAACTGATCCAATGAAATCCCATTGACAAAATAAAAAAAAAAAAACATTTTAAACGAAAGTCATCCCTTAAAAGAATTATCACATAAAATCCAGTTAAATTGGATTTTTATATCTTATACTAGACATTGTTAAATATTTATAATGATGAACATAGTACACATAATGATAAATTAGTTTTACCGCATATGTATTATCGATGGAGAGGAGAGAACGTCGTTTGATAGTTGATAGTTGATAGTTGCCGGAGCGTCGAGGGAGGACTTGAACAGAAGCATCATCTGAGGTCGTTTTGGCCATCGATTTGCACATGAAACGCTTAGGACGACGAAGAAGACTATGGGTGATGGCATTTTGGTAAATAGGAGCTGAGCCTATACATAAAGTTGCCATTGATTTAGAAGCTTTCTCTTCTTCGTAGGTGAATAGTACACCTGACAGTATATACGTTTATATTGGGTCGATGCATGTGTCATATTGTGTCAATGCATGTGTCATATTGGGTCTTATGCATGTTCGCCAACAAAACATTTAAAGTGTAAAGAAATGTAAATCTACACTCGAAGCGTGGGAAAGTATTGGAGAAAGAATTACTTACATTGTTTTTCTTATATGAAATGTTAATATAAAGTCATATTGTGTCAATGCATGTGTCATATTGTGTCAAAGCATGTGTCATATTAGGTCTTATCACTACAAGAAAACAAACAATATTCCGACGGAATTTTCGACGGTCGAAATTTCCGTCGGAATTTTTCGACGGTATCCCGACGGATTTCCGAACAAAATGAATCCGTCGGAAATCTGTCGGTTTATTGTGACGGATTTCCGACGGACACGAAAACCGTCGGTATTCCGTCGGAAATCCGTCGGGACATGACGACGGATTTCCGACGGAAATAAGCTGTCGTAATTTCCCGACGACTTTCCGACGGAATAACGACGGAAATCCGATTTTTCCGATGTCGGCAACGTTTGATTGGTCAGCTCATACCGACGGAACTAATTCCGTCGGAAATTCGATGTCGGCAAATTTGAGTGGTTACCATTTCGTTAGCGGTAGCCGATGGGATTGGTGGGGTGTTATGTCGGAGGTTTGTGACGGATTTCCGTCAGAAATCCGTTCTATATAAGTTCCTACATTTCTTCGTTCCTTCATAACACAATTTTAAAAAGC